AAAATACAGTCTCAAAGTATTGAATAAATTGAAAAAAGAGTGATGGCATTTGGAGCCGCAGCGTATTAGCAATGGGGGGATGGAGCCATAGTAAGAAGGGTCGGCCAATGCACATGGTGGACCAATTGGGAGTCAGACTCAGCTGTCAAACATGATGTTTCACTATTTTTATAGCATAAATAATAAAAACCAAACTTAGTGGAAAGATCAACACTTGAACAAACTTCGGTGTAATCAGAAGTACCTCAAATGACAGAAACCTTCTTTGAGAACAATTATTTGACTTTATACTGTAGTTTGGTCCATATCCCAACATGGTGGAGGAAAGTTTATGACCTATACTGCAGCTAGCCATCAGGTTGTGACTGAGACGCTTTGGCTTCGCTTTTATGGAGCTGTCATGTCGTCCATCTTTATAGAGTCTATAGTTTAAATTCTTAACTAAAAAAATATTTATAACATTCAGCTTCTGTCACACAACCTACAGCTATAAACTTGAGAAAAAATATTCTATATAATTCAAAGTGCTAAATAAATTCAATATATTGGTTTATATATTGTAAATGAACATACTTAGAGGGTGTGGGGGTGTGTCTGACAAAAAAAGGCTGGGGAAACCAACAGGAGCTTAACTGTCCAGTGTAGAACACCTGGATACTTTGTTGTATGTTGCTCATTTTGTTTCCTCAAAACCCTCTGAAGATATATGACCTCAATGGCTTGTTAGCAGGAAGGTTGTAACCTCTGACCTCCACTGCTTAGTTAGGACAGGGTGGGCCATTTAAACGTGGTAAAACCCGGCAAGGGAGTGTCACGGTTAATAAGCTGACATCTGGAAGAGTTATGACCATTAGTGGAGCGCTTTGAGACTTTGACAAAACACCCTCATGAAAGGAGACACCCCATGTGTGAAAATACAACGCTTTCAAGTAAAAAGTAAAAAGCAGAAATGAGGCTCACTGGTCCTGCGAGTTCAGGAAATGATCTCAAGAGTAAATGAAGCATTTCAGGAATGCTTCACCACCTCATGGTATGGACGGATAAATGAAACATACCATTTAAAAAAGGAAACTTGGAAAATTGCAGCATAGCCATAACCCAATTCCCCGAAAACACACAGAGGTAGACCCTCTGACCCTATGTCCTACAATGACCAAAGAAGTGTTTTCCATGGCGAAAGTGAGAGGCCCGTCCAGAGGACTCATTCACGTCCATGTTCAAAGAGGACAGAGGCAGTTTACAGAGGTTTATTGTGGAGAGGATACAGGACACCTCATTACACCACTGGCTGACTCCATATAAATGTTTCAAGTCATGGATCCATGGTCATCACGCTGCAGCGACAATAGTGACTCTCTAAATAATGCAGAAGCAGCTTACAGCCATATGAAGCCTCTGGTTTCAACAGGAAAGCCTTGGTGGTTCTCCAGCTTTTGGGGACTGACTGCAGAAACAAGATCATCAGTGTGTTTTCTTAAAAAATTCTGTTAAAATCAGATTAAAAGAATAGTTTGGAAATACGGTAATGCACTTTATTGCAGATCACTAATGAGAAGATTGTCTAGAGTTGGTAGCAGTTATCTTGGCAAATAATAGGCATTCTCCTTACAGCTTCTGTTTCCAATAGATAACTATATCCTGATTATTAAAAAGTTAAACAGGGTTACGATAAAACATGATTTGTCTGTATTCAGGCTACAGTGTGTATGTAAAAACTGTGCATGTCAAGACTCCTGGTGAGATGGATGTCCTCTGTATTCACACTGATCATTAGAGCGATGACTTTGCGGTGGTATTATTCTGTAAACAAGTGCTAAAAGCCAGAGAAGTGATGAAGAGATCATTTCAGAGTAAAAAAGGAAGAATGAGAAACACCCTCCTGACATTCATGAGACATAGTGAAGGGGGTCAACCGCAGAACCAGTGGGCCCCATTCCCACAAGGATAACAACAATAATATCTGTTCATACTAACTCCTCACCCTGTCTGTTTACCTCGGCCTAACCTCCCTACGATCCCCTTCCTCCATCAACCCTCCCCGCCTCCCGCACACCTCCTTCTCTACGTGTTCCCCCCTCTTAAGAGGCCCAGAGACAGCGTATTGGCCCACAGAACAATCTGTCCTCACACAGGCTTTTAGCACAGATAACCAGACAGGGCCAATGAGGAATTAGCACAAATTAATCAAAGTGAGTGTGTATGTTTGTCTGGGAGCTTTGTTTAACCATCCGTCTCTCTCCAATTATCGAACACTGGTAAGTCTAAGCTCAACAGCTCCCACCCTCAACTCCCCTTAAAAAAAATCTCCTCATGTCAGTTAAGTCACATCTCACTGCTCTAAACTGAGAAAGGACACAGGGCTGTTTAAAATTCGCTATACCCCATAACTCATAACTTTTTCTGGTTTCCAGCCAACAAATTTATATCAGGACAATGTCAAGGCATTTTACTCCATGCCTAATATCAATCTCAGAGTCTGACTTCCACAGTCCCCCACTGGCCATGAAATGGAGGGACATTAATCCTGGGTAACAGAAAAGCGTCTGTGGTCGACTCGGCAGCCAGTCGCACAGTGATTCACTGCTGACCAACTCTCTCTGTTGAGAGGAGGCAGTAAACCAGGCCCTGACAGCCTGCCAGCGCTGATTTCCATACAAATTGCTGCGGTGTGAGGCGAAGGATTTGTTAAGGAGGAGGAGAAGGTGACATGTCCACACACACAGAGGTGTTTGCTCACGAGTGTCTCCTGTGAAGCTCAAACATGAAAGGTAAGGACTCTGGACTGTGAGCTCATGCATATCTGTGTGCACCTTTGTGCTGACGCTGTGCATAGTGACCGGCTCAGCATCACCTCTGCCGCATATGGTGCTTGTTTGTGTGCCGGGTTGAAGCTTGGGGGCCAGAAACTCTCAGAGCGGGACGGCATGTCAGCCTCCACCTCCTCCCCCACTCTGTGACTTCACGCCCCCCCCGGGTCTTCCCCCCTGTGTGTGGTCTCTTCCTCCCCTTTCACATTCCTCCCTTTAACTTGTGCGTGCACCGCTCAGTCAGAGCCGACTGACGGACACAAAGTCAGCAGGTAGACAGCGGCAGGGCCTGAATCCAGACACAATAACACTCAAACAAAGACAGACATGATATTGGAAAGACAGAGGTGACGTGAGGCAGCTGCATCAAATGGCAACTCAGAGCCAATGCGTGTGTTGCTGGGACACTGTTTCAACAACCACAAGGACCCTGGTGCTGCTCGACTATCTACCCTGCCAACCATTGAATAACTCTAACACTACGATTTCAGACATGCACTGAACTCAACACAAATGTACGCTCTTCAGTTTCTGCGAACTTTCTCTGCCTGGCCTCCTAATATAAAGTCCGTAGAAATCCAGGAGAAGTCGATGTGAGAACACACCAGGGGTTGATGCTTCTAATGCGTGAGAGACACAAAAATAAAAATAAAACAAATATCTCTAGGTGAAAAAGTGGTGACACATGTAGAAGACACAGATGAAGATGTCAAGAGAGATTGTGGTGATAAGAGCTTAAAGCGGTTTCTGTGTCACAGAAAATCACATGTTCTCCACAGCGGAGTTAATACGTTGCTTCCTGTCTCTGCCTCTTGCACCTGGCTGCTCCACCTCTCGCCTGAATAATACGGAGGATTTGTTGCTGTTGTGAATTCGTCTGTGCAGAAAACCTCCCACTGTGTTGTGCTTGTGTAAGGCAAACTCTGGGTAAACTCCATAGCCAATTCTCTGTGTTTTTACCCGCAGGTCATGTCTTTGGCTCATTGAACTCTTGCAGCTTTTCATGATTGCATATTTTTGACTGGAAGTTGGTGCTTTGCGACAAAAACATAAAATCAGCCCCCACGCATGTATTTGCAATAACCCACAGTTTAGTATCTTTCTTCTAGAGGAAGGAAACATTTGAACAACCTGGTGTATCTCTGAAGAGTACTGTCATTAGGGCTAAGTCCACACACAGGGTTGTCATTTTGTCCAGCAGCTGCTGCTGTCAGGCATTTACAACCCATGAGATCACAGTATGGGAGGCTGCATAAAGGTTTCCATTCATTGTTCCTGTGCAGGTATATGATGCCTTAAAATAAATCCAGAGGAAAACCAGAGGGGAGCAATTAGAAGTAATTAAATGAGATGCAGAGCTTTGTTAAACACAACACCATGTCTACAAGAAAGGGAGGCAATCGTCAGGTAATCAAACCAAACTGGCAATATTTAAGTTTTAAGATCATCTGGATGCGTCAAGTGGTTTTAACTGACAAAAGCAATTGTTGGTATAATTGTTTGAAACTGGTTAGGCTGGCAACATTTCACTGCTTGTGGCAACAAAATGTGGACTCTTTAAGAAGTATGGGGGTTTTTTTGAAATGAGTTTTGTACAGGGGAAACTGTGTCAGCCATGTAGATATATGAAAATATTTCACCTTGGCATTCTTTTATACCACTACACTTTATAACATCCAAAAAGGCAAGAATCTTTTTTCCACAAGGGATGAAATAGTTGTCCAGACCTATTGTTTGGGGTAGTGGGACACACTGAAAACCAACCACTAATGATTCCACAAATTCTACAACTTTTTGGTAAAGATTAGTCAACATTTACCATCAGATTTAACTGAATTGTGTGAACATTATAAGATAAATCCAGAAGAAGAGGAGGAGGAGGACAAAAGGGAGGAAGGGTGTTAAACCTTGTCAGCCCCTTGTTGTTCAAAGTTTATGACTTTCACACACCTCTCTCAGTGTGGTTAACAAATGTTGTGTGATTCTACACACACATTTTACAGTGTCAGGACACATTATGCTCTCCTGGTGTCTATATTTCCAGTGCCATCACTACAGCAGTTCTTGTTAGTGTTGCTTTTGCAGCCCTCTGTGTTTCTGACTTTAAGGTGTGTAAAGTTGCATTGGTGCCATTGATTGATAATAATCCTGTATAATATAAATGGTGACAGCAGGTCAATGACAGTTACATACCGACAGCTTTAATGATGAACCCCTTCGGTGACCTCAGAGCCCTGCGCATCCACGCTTCCCTCAGCACCTCCAGGTTGTTCGCGTTCCCCTGAATGAAAAGCACCAAGTTTTCCATCCATCCCTGGAAGCACACCTCCGCTATGGCCTTCACCAGCCTTTTATTCCAAAAGCTGCGCGAGTTTTGCGCCTTGAAGTCCGCAAAGATCTCCTGACCGCTCGTCGCGTTGACTTTCCCTCCGCCGGCGCGCAAACTCTCCTCGTCCTGGCCGAGGATCACAGCGAGCGACGCGGCGGAGAGCTGGACGACCCGCTGCTGGAGAGACATGTCTAACTATGGAGATATGATCCCACTGGAGAAAATGCACTCGGTTAAAAAGCAGTCTCTCCTCTCTGGAAATCCAAATAGACGCCGGGGTTTGCCACGCATTCCTCCAGTGTGCGTCTGAGCCCTGCGCCCTGTGGACCGGAGGCGCAGAAGACGACTCGGTGCGACGGGTGTCTGTGGGCTTCCAGGGAAACAGTGACGGTGGAGGAGGAAGAGGAGGAAGAGGAGGAGGGATCATCAGCCTGCTGCTGCTGCTGGGACACACAGGTAGACAGACCTCCCACTGACTGGCTCCTCTGCTCCAACCTGCTGGACGAGGGAGGGTTTTAATGTCAGTCTTTAGGAAGAGATAATATTAGAGCCCGGCTTTCATTTTTATTTTCTCCTCACCTGACCCCCTCACTCTCATGTCTCCCATCTTTTCCTCTCCCTTCATTTTCACCCTCGCCCACACTAAAGAGGCCAATGCTAGTTACTGGCACTGTTGGGTTTCAGGGAACTCTTCATTTCCAGACTCGGATGCAAATGTCCAAAGCTGCTGTCAGACATGCACTGAACTCCGCAGGTCGTCCATGGAAATCCGCTGGATTCACCGCGAGCGAGTGTCTGTGGTGTGTATGTGTGAAAGACAGACAGTGGGTAAAGTCCGGAGACAATTATCCGGATATTACCTGCAGATCATGTTCGACAACAGCTCATCTGATATTCTCCGGAGCTTCTCCTGCCGGTCCTCTCGTAAAAACCACTGGATAATGTGGAGCGAGCCCATGTGAGGAGACATCAGGAGATCATGGTGATTCACGCCAGCGAGTGGGCGTGTTGATGACGTTTTTAACACGCGACAGACACAAAACCTAAAAAAACAACAACAAACACATCTCAGGATGAGAAAGAGATGCCATGCACACAGAAGACACTTAAGAAGATGGCAACACAGCTTTTGGTGATAAGGGCCGACGCTGTGCTACATCTCAGGAATTATACATCATGACCTGCCTCTGCTGTGCATCGTCTCACCTGAATGCTCAGGTTCAGACTCTATACAATTAGAATTGAATCGAACTTGAACGTGGCCTCTAGCACAAGACAGATTCCAGCTGTCTTTAGCTGGACAGCGTCCCTGGTGTGAGGGGGACTCAGTGTCTAGCTCAAGGACACTTCAGCCCTACCCCAGATCAGCGGTTCTCCAAGTTTAATTTTTTTTACAAATGTTACAGGGGAAGCGATTGATAAACTAACATCTGAATTGAGTTGTAGTGAGGTGGGGGTCAACACAACACCATCGTCAAACCAATTGTTCTTACATCTATCCCCCTCGGTAAGCCTGCCCCCCAGTTTGAGAACCATTCCCCTAGATGACCTATTTTTAATATTGATCCTCAATATATCCTCCTGACTGAAAATATGCCTGTGACTTAAATAGATTAAAAACAAGTAAAATACGTTTCACCAAACGTACGGTGATGTTTCTAAAAAAAATGCATCAATGAGATAAACATTTTAGGATAACACCAAGTGTACAGCAAAGTAGCCTGCAACTTGCAACTCAGCACAAAACTTATCCATAAATAAGGAAAGAATCAAAACTGTATTTACATAAATCAACAAAGGAGACGCTTAGTTGACTGAGGCACCAATTTAGCCTAAAATTAGTTTATTTTCAGCAGACTTCACTGGAAGTTAGTTCCTCACATAAATCATTTAACACAGACGCCAGAGCCAACTGGTTTGTGTGGTAAACAGTGAATTTCTGAGAACATCTCTTCCTTTATATTTTATTTACATAATATAAACTTGAATTATTTTATTCCAGAGCAATGACTGGAAATGCTGATTCATGAAAATTGTGCGAGCGTCTACCACAGGGAACATATTTGCAGCTGAAATGAGAACCATACCCTCCTGTGCTCTGAAAAGAGGGACCCCATTAGGCCCTGTTTTTACTGAGGCTGTAACAGGCAGAGTCTGGAGCACAGAAACACAGACACCTCATATATCACAGCCCCAGAAAACCTGTGGCTTTGGTTTCAGGAGCACTAAGGCCCCTTAAAGGCCGGGGACCAGTGTGCCTCAGTGTGGTATTAGAGCCCATGTGGGAACAGGATATTGCGCTTCCTCCGTACATGAAAAGAATACATCACCTCAGCCTACACAGGATGAATTATGTGCTGCCTCTCCCGGGGAAGCAGAGTCAAGTGAAGTTGGGGGGGGCAAAAGGGAAAACTTGTAAAGATTCTGTGAGAGATAATGAGACGAGAGTTGTAGAGATTTTTACTGGCTTAGGATTTTTAAAGCTTTTGATCATAACTTTAAACACTGCTGGGTCAGACCAACTTTCGCAGTTATTGCAAGTTCCTGCAGTGCAGCAAAACTTTGTTAAAACCGAAAGAGCATTGAGAACATCCCAAAGTTTCCAAAGACACCAAACCTGTCAGGATGAATTTTGAGGAAATATGTACAAGACGTTGTAAAAGACATCTGGAATATTTCCATAAAATGAAATAGTTCAGTCATAAAAAGTCTTTGGATTACAGGAAATATATAATACAGTCAGACTTATTTTTTCGAATTTAACAATAATCTGTGGAGTTTTGTACCTCTCAGATCTCTGGAACAGGTTATTCATGAGTGCTCCCCCATTTTCCACATAAGGACACACTTATGCACTTAGGTCTTCCAGGATAGTTTATGGTAATTTTCTGCATTTCATGAGTTTCCCATCTATGAAAGCTACTGGCTGCAGCTACATATTAAACATACAGAGTAAGAGTAAGATAAATCCTTTTCATCTTAATCCCACCAAAAAGGTGAATGTCAAACTATTCCTTTAATAATGATTTGTTAGTTCTGATCTGTGGTTGAAATATCTTAATGACCCAATAGCTGCAGGCTCAGAGGTCTTTACACAAGCAGAGACTTTTAGATATGAAGAAGAGATGATACTTTTTTAGGATGTCCGGCCTTTATTAGAACGAAGACAATAGAAAGCTGACAGGAAATGAGGGGAGAGAGATGGGTAATGCAACAAAAGTCCCAGTCAGAGTCAAAAATGGACTGCTGCATTTACATGGAATGCGCCTTAAACCACCTAAGACACAAAACAGGGAAACAGGGTTTAGAAAATGAAAAAGGAAAGTGTTTTTACGAGTTTAACTTAATTACAACTGAAGCTTTACGTTTTTTTGCTTCGCAGATCTGTTTTATTAAAATACAATGACTTTGGCCAATACGGGTACTCCCACAACACAAAGCATGCCCAGTATTACACAAAAAGGTCCAGACCACAAAAACTTTTTTTGCACTGTTTGCATTACATGGAAGTTTACAGAAATGCTCTCACTGTTTGAAACCACGAACTTCCTCCAGATAAAAATATTGGCACACACTTTGGTCTTTATCTGCAGCATGGACAATGGGACCTGACCCGCCGGCCTGTCCTTCATTTAAAATCTGAGGGCTCTTTCTTCCAAATGTTTAGTCTGCTGGTGGGACTGATTATCAAGAAGCAAAGTTCACCAAGTTTCCATAATTACATGAAATCCTGCACTCCGGCCTCTGATTTTCAATTAGCATACATATCTCTACCTCATGCTGTGTGTTGAAGCAATTTCAAAGTGGTATCAGGTGTCTCTGACAAGGCCTGTGACCTTGATGTGATCACAGTGTATATTTTGAATATGATAATTCGAATGAACCGCAAACCTTAACCTAAAGTTTGAGTCACTGCATACAAACTAAAACATCTGGTCCTGCTATAAGATCTTGGCTCTTGGGACATTTTCTGACTAAAACAGCCCCAGAAGGCTTCCCTTTTACCGCCATGCCAAGAATAAATATGACCCAAATAGTCACTAGTCCTCAGAAGAATTCCTGCTCATGAGCCAATATGTACACAGTATAACTTCTGCATGAGTAAAAGCTTCACTTTTATTAGTGATATAAGTCTTGTGTTTTAGAGGATGTATCACCTCATTGTTGGGTTTAGGATGGCTCTGAGGCATTTAAACAAAGAGGGTCAGTGCTGCCTCATATGTCAGAGGTCATCAGGGCAGATATTGGCCATTTGTTCACTTACCCATCATATTGGTATTCTAGAGAGGATATGAGAATTTCATCATTGAGAAATAAGGCTTCACAGCTATGATTAATCGCTATTGTGTCTTTAGCTGGACATGCTATTTGTCATCAACACCCGCATTTGCTTCCTTAAACCACTCCAGAGCATATTTATAGGAATAGATTGACATTATAGGAAATATACATGCTAAATATATGGCTACTGCTTGCAGCTGGTCTGGCTCTGACTACAGGTAACAAAATCCACCTACCAGCGCCGCTACTGTGAGATTAATGGGTACAATAATCAAACATTAACAAAAAATAATTAAATAACATGCTTTGTGGTAGATGATTTCTGGAGTTATGTGCTCGCCAGGCAGGCTGTTCCCCCCCCCCCCAAGCTAAAGTAGCTAGCTAGAGTGACTAAGGTGACTTGCTCTAGCCTTGTATGTAATGGACACTTGTCAGATGTACGATAATTAGCGTATCTCTACAATAATTTTGCCCTCTGTACGATCTACGATCAATCATGTCAAAATTTCCATGATGCATGATAATTTGATCATTTTGTAACACAGTATTATCTGTTGTGATCAGGATATAAAAATATGGATCATGTCTATATTTACGCATCTCTTCTCACGTGAAGTCTTTCCAGCTAATCATGCTTGGTATGATGAACTTGGAGCAAGGCTCGTTATTTCACCTGCTTCCAATCTTCATGATAAGCTAAGCTAACTACTTCCAAGCTTCAGCTCAAGAAAACAACAAGCATATTTTCCAAAAATGTCAAACTGTTGCTAAAACAAGCTGAAGATTCAACTTTTAAACATTCAGGTGAACCCCTATGTTCTCGGATCAAAAACGTAAATCTGTTTGTCGAGATCTTTTTTTAAATCTTAACGCCTGAGTGAACATGTCCCAACATCAGTCCTGGTACTCTGTTATTAGGATTTCATTATTTCAGCACTCTGGCATCACAGCAGCGATCAAAGAGAGACCAGGATCTTTTGGCTTCAGTCTCTTCAGTGTCTAAGACATTTTAGACAGTAATGTATTCACGCTCAAGTGCTCCACAGCACAAATCAATGCACATCTTAAGTGGAACCTGCAGGAGCGTCTCACTTCACAGTCAGTAGGCAGCCAGACAAACCTAATGATAGTGGTTTCTGCCGTAAAACATGATTACTTAAGTCAGGACTGTAATTGACTCATGTTGTTTTAATAAGTCTAGGACAGAGAGGAAATCCAGCAATGCACTTAGGCTACAGGAGAGGAGGAGGGCTGCTGTTATACAAGAAGGCATTCTAACAAAGAAAAAGAGAGAAAAGAAAGATTTACAGTCACTTTGAGCTCTGCACAGTGTTGGAAGGTGGTGAGTGATGATTTCCACCTTCACATGCACACACAAACACACACATACACACACACACAGGGAAGAAGACCCTGTGGACATGCTAAAGATCACAGCCATGTGAGAGAAGTCTACAGCTGCACTTTGAGGTTGTGTGAGAGTGCACAAGGGTCGGTTGGTTTAGTCTTGCCTTTCTTCCACACTTTGTGCACTGTTTGTGTACTGTCCTTGCACACACCACTGAGTTCACAGGTGCAACAGATACGTAAAGACATAACAATCCCTTCTTGTTACCAAGTAGCTCTCGTTATTCCCGTGTGAAAGATTTTTTACGGCTGTATGTGGTGCGTAAACAGATAAAATAGTAGAAAGATAGAGGTTTGGTTTATTTGTCTGAATACTGTTATAAAATGCATTTGTATAAAGATAAACTGACATGAAATGCAATCAATTAATGAGA